GTACATTTATAGTTTCTGAGGCACGTTTATGTTTAACCCTGGTCGTGTTTATTCGCATGTGTGCGGTGAGGAGCATGAGGCCTTCACTGTGGCAATTTCCACTTGCCACATCTACTTGTGCCAGATGATGGAGTCCTGGGCGAATCTATGTGCCCTTCACTTCCTCCTGCCTTGGCTTCTGTCTGTGGTTTCTGTTTCTTCCTTAGCTTCTGCCTGGGTGTCTTTGTCCCTTTCCTTGTGTCAGAATATGGGACACTCATGACTTAACAGAGAAGACGTTTATTTGGCTTGCAGTTTCAGGAGGTTCAGTCCATGTGAGGCTGGCTGAGATACAGAAATGGCGTGGTGGGAAGGCTGGGGAGGAGGAGATTCGCTCAAATCATAGCAGCCAGGATACAGAAAAAGAAGGGAGGAGCCAGGAGGGAGATGCACTCTTTGGGGCGGTTCCAGGCTCCTCCTCCTAGCAGCAAGTCAGCTGTGAGCCCCCATGACCCAGTCACCTTCCACACGCACACTGTCTGAGCTTGTGAGGTTCTGAGGGGCACATCTCAAATCCAGACCACAACACTGGGGCTCACCACGGGACCAATTCCAAAGGCTGCCCCTCTTCCAGAACCTCTTCTAGAATCTTGCCTGGCTGTTCTCCTGCCAGCCTGGGAGGCGGCGATGTCTGTGCCTAAGCTGCCTCTGTCTGTCCACTATCCCTCATCTCAGGCATCCAGAGCCCCCTCCTCGTCCCCATTGCTTGCCTCCCCACCATCTCCAATCCAACGTCTTGAGCCTCGAAGCACTAACCGACCTGTTTCAGACACCCGCACCTTTGTCCCTGTGCAAGACACAGCTCTCAACAGAATCCTGTCATTGTGACCCAGTCCATCTCCCCCAGGCTCTTCTGTTTTGTGAGGGCCTCTGACTCCCCTGTGCCATGGGTTCCCCCACCGCAGAATCACCACCCTCCCCTCAGCCCAGTGCAGCATGGCTCCGTGTCTTTGCAGGGTCTTTCTTGCATGCTTCCTCCCCATCCTGCGTGGGCTAGTGCCCACTTTCCTTACTAGCCCAGTCAACTGCACCCTGCCTGGGGGGGTGCCTGGCAGCGCTATGTAGCCTGAGCCCTGTGGAGCAGGGCCCCTGTTGACTTCTTCAGGAGACCTGGAGCTCCCCAGGACCAGAGTCCTCCTGAGCCCACCCCCAGCACCTCGCTTCTGGCAAGGCCTGGATGGGAGCAAACTCGTGAGACAGTGCTTGGAGGCGAGGAGAACAGGTCCTCTGGCTGCATGAGACAGTCAGGAATTCGGGAGGCTGAGCTGCGGGTAGCCCCTGGGGGTGCTGCTCAGGTCAGGCTGGCCCACACAGTCCTTATCAACTGGGCTCCAGGCAGGACTGCAGGGTGTGGGGCTGGAGCCCTGCCTGGCCCCTTTGCAGCTGCCTTGTAAAACAGCCTCTCTTATTTTTCCAATTCCAGAGCCTCCCTCAGCACCCCCAGAAGCCCCAGCTCCAGAAACTGCTCTGCCATGTGCAGAGTAGCCCAGTCCTCCTCGGATGGGGAGGACTGAGGCAGATGGGGCATCTTGGGGTGCTGGGTGGCATCCCTGAGAGGGCACGCAGGTCACCAAATGCTCCAGTGGACCTGGGTGGACACAGCTCCGCATCTCCGTTGCTCTGCACATGGGGCGTCGCCTGTGGCTGGCTGCCCACAGAGCAACACTCTGACCCGCCTGGAGCTCGGGGCTGGCTCAAGCAGGGTCACCCTGGCCCTTCGTCCTCTCAGTGCGGAGTGACTGAGGAGGGCCAGCTGTTGTCTGGCTCAAATGCTGGGCAGAACGCGGTGCAGACCCTGCCTCTGCCGATGTGACCCTTCCTGCAGCATCTCTGTCCACCTGGAGGCTGTCATGCCACAGCCCCCTCCCCACCACCCAGCTTCCTGTGAGCCTGCAGTGGAAGCCACCAACCCTCCCTCACTGGTCCTGGCAGACACCAGTAGCTCGTGATGGGCTGGGTTGATCGCAGCTTCCGAATCCTTCTAGACCTTGGATGAGAACACTGTGGACCGTGGGGCTGTCTCAAAAGGTGACATTCATCATGATGCACATAGACAGTGCTAGCCAGACTGTCAGCACCGGCTTTGCGGGGGACACAGCTGGGGCTTCTCAGTCAACTCGCCAGTTTCAAGGCTGAGGACACAGAAGCACCGGGAGGTTTGGTAGCGTGTGCAGGGTAGCCTTTCCAAGCTCACACTTGATCATCAGGCTCTGAGGAGTGGCAGGGTGCACAGGTGGGGTGCACAGGTGGAAACATCAGAATCAGGGGTCTCCTCTCAGTGGCTGTGATGAGCACTGTTGTTTACCTCGCCCAGTCCGGGGCACCCTGCTTGCAGGAGTGTGGCTCTATCTGTTCTCCATGTGGGCCTTGGCCTTGCAGAGCTCACCATGTGGCTTTCCAGAGCAGCACCCCAGCTTCTTAAGCTCCCCAGCTGGTAATATGGGCCGGAGCAGGTGAGCTCTTGTCCCTCAGGACTGTGCCAAAGGTGCAGAATGCTGGACAATGATTCCTTTGGATCTGCTCAGTCACTCATGGGGCTGGTGAGTGCAACTTCATGGTCAGCATCTCACACATAGGACCCAGCTGGGTCCATCCAGGGTTCCAGTCTTCCACATGTAGTTTGTATGATGAAGACAGAGTAGCTCTGTGTTAATCAGTTTTCCATCACTATAACAAAACACCCAACACAATCAACTTATAGAGAGAAAAGGTTATTTTGACATAGTTTTGGAGGCTCTTCTCTATGATCAGTTAGTCTCATTACATGGGGCCATGCTGAGGCAGCACATCATGGTGGGACCATGTGATAAGCAAGAGGAAGAGATGATGGCCGTGTAAACTCTTTGAAGGCCACTCCAGCCACCTGAAGGCCTCCACCAGGCCCCCAGGCCACAGGCTCCACCCTCTCCATCACTCTGGGACCAAGCCTTTTGCAGACCACCCTTGGAGGGCGTTTTACACCCAAACCCCATATAACAGTCCTCATCACAGAAGAGGGTGCCAGGCATTTCTGTACGCCCTGGCAGAAACTCACAGGAAACTGGCTACATTCATCCCTTGGCCTAAGCAGTTCCACCCGAGCATAGGCCATTTGCATGCTGGGTGTGTGCGAATGTCCCATGCACATGTTGTGTACTGCTGTGGACACCAGGTGCTCTGCTCTGACCATCCTACATCTTCCCAGGGCTGCACCATTGGCCGGCACATGTGTGGCGCTGCTGCCACTTCTCGACAGCTCAGTGTGCTGACAGACAGGACAGGGCCAGAGGGTGGAAGGGAATTGAAACCAAGACTCCTGCCTTGGAGCTCCTGCTGTGTACCCACTGCCCTATACGGAAGCTTAGAGCAGCAGTGGTTGTGCTGTGCTGCCTGACTGCAGCTCAGGAGCTTGGGCAGCGGCTCTGGGGCTGGAGGGAGAGGTGAGGGAAGGGAAGAGGAAGTAACATAAGGAGAACTGAGACTCAATACGTACACCTACCGACTCTCCATGGCAAACGTGTTCATTATGTATTGCAAACATGTACTGATAAAAAATTCAACAAATAAATTAGACATGGGCAGACATTAATGCTACTAATAAAATAATTATGGCAAAAACAGTAACAAAAATTAAGCCAACATGGTCTTTCTTTCCTCTCAAAATATGAAAGTCTTCTTCCCTGTGATTAACCTGCAAGGCACTAAAACCATGGAAAGAGATGCTGACCATGTGAGCCTGCCGCATACCCCACTGGTGCCAAGATCCAGGGGTACCCTGGATTACACAGCTCGTGGAGAGACCCCACTGGCTACTCTTTCTGGGAAGCACCCTGAATAGGTGTCAGCGAGGCAGCGCCATGGTTGTACAGCCTCCCTGACAGGCTGTGGCTGGTCAGAGAACAGGCTCCCTTCCTTTCCCTTAAGTGATCACCTCTCATCAGAAGGGCAGGTCGGAGTAAGATTCAGCAATTCACCGCTTGGGCAAAATGGCCACGTAAGGCCCAGTCTCACTCTCATTGCTTTTAAAAGGCTTCCTGCAGCAGTTCATGATGGCCTCCTGGGTCCGAATGTACACAAGGATCAGCTTCTTGGAGGCAAGACTTTCCTTCTTCAGTAGAAGGCTGCAGTCTTCCCAAGGGCAAAAGCCAGGAACCTGGGGCTGCAGGAGACCAGCCCCGCCCAGTGGCCCCAGGCGACCTCCATGGATGCAGGGAGCAGCCCTCTTGCTGCGGGCTTTGTCATCTGCAGGCAGCTGTCCTCCCCGCCCCCCCACCCGCCCCCGCACATCCACCATATGCCCTCTAGGTGCATGCCAGAGAGCTTCACTCACAGCCTCCGTTCCCCAGATGGGGATGTGGAGGCCCCGGGAATCACGGTGGGCACCCCAGGAAAGGCTGACTGCCTCGAGATGCCCTGTTCTTCCACCGACCCTTTCCCCCTTGTCACACAGGGGCTGTGCTGGGAGACAGGCTGTGCTGGGGTCCTGGGGCCTCTCCCATCAGGGTCCCTACTTAGCACCTCACCTCTCGTGCTAAGCCTGATGTTTTTCACAGTGCAGAGCCCTCCGAGTCCTGAGGGCTCCTTCCAAGTGCAAGCCGAGCTCAGCTGGACTGGAGTGGTCAAAGGGGCATTGAGAAAGAGGCCATCTGATCCTGTCTGTGGGGCAGCATCTTCCAGGACCTGGAGCTCACAAACAACAGGACAGCAGAGGGAAAACAGGCCTCCCACCCGCCGCCCCCTGCAGGCAGCCACCTCCTGGCTGATTGTAAACAAAAAGGGACAGTTGTGAAATTCAGCCTGGAGTGCCCTTGTCACCTCCCGCAGGCTCCTGGGCTCCTTGCTGTGTTTATGGACAAATCAGCACATGCTGTTTTGGGCCGAGAGGTCTGGGGTGGCAGACTGCAACCCCCAGGGAGGGAGGCCAGAAGCCCTGCGCAAATTGCACAACACAATTCATCGAAGGCCCCAGGAAAACAGAGGCAGCTGACACTGGGCGGGAGGCCATCTGGAGGCCGCCCTCAGGGTCAAGCACTGTGGGAGCAGGCAGGCAGATTTGGAGGTGCTCTCTTTGCTTCTGTGTGCCTGAGAATGATGATGCTCTATGGTGCTGGCCTCAGTTTCCCCATCTGCAAGAGGTGTGTGGGGGAGGTGATCCCTTGGGGTGCTCTACCCTGCCCTGAAGTTTCAGCCATCAGATGAGATGTGAGGGTGTGTGTGTGTGTGTCCTGCGAGTCACATGAGACCATCATGGGGATCCACGAGCAGGTCCCCCCTGGGGCCGTGCAGGCCAGGCTGGCCCAGGCCTCTCTTGCAGAGGGATGCCGTCGTTGGAGTGGCTTCCTGACCCTGTTCCCACTTGTTTCTTTAGCTTCCCCAGGCAGTTATCCTGAGCACCCCTGACCTGTCCCTCCAATGCCTGTGGAAGATCTCGGCTGAGCCGTGAGACTCAACTACGACCATCCTTTTGCCCACCTACTGGCACCTCAGGGTGCTGAGCGGGAGGCTTTGAGAAGAGGGATGAGACCTGCGCAGGATTCCGGAACAATGGGAGACAAGCAGGGAAGTCAAGGTGATGGACCCAGGGACCCCGAGAGCAGGGGCTCCATGTGCTTCCCTGCCCTGGTCACAGACAGGCTCTGCAGCTCACCCTCAGGTGCCTCCCCGGGCCATGTGGGCACCTGGGGAAGTCTCTGGGGCCTTGTCACTGTCCACTCCAGTTCTTCTGCTGCAGGTGAGTGGGCTTTTAGAGCTCCTTAGCACTGAGGAGGCCTTAGGTGTGCCATGCCAACCCTGCTACGTGTCCACCTGGGCTCTGTCTGTGGGCCCAGGGGAGTACGGGGCTGTGTGCTGCTCAGGCACTGCGGATGTGTGTGACTGCCAATCCCAATCCCCCAAACAAGAGACTTTCCCCTGCATTCTAGGCCCCTCAGCTTCCCAGGTACATTGCTTAGGTTGGAGCCTGCATATTCTCTCCTCCACCAGCCATGCGGCCTTGGGCAAAGCACTTTCAGTCTCTGGCCTTGGAATGATATTCCCTCCTCCCAGGCCACTGCGCTTGGCGCTTCTCTTCTTTACTACAGCAGAGCTGGCAGTGTGGTGCGGTGGAGGTGGGGACTGGAGCGCGGGACTGTGGGCTTCCACACTCCTCTGATACTGTTCCTGGGAAAGCAGACAGGGTAAGCACAAGTTACCCTCACTGCAGCTATTCTTTCTACCCTTGTCTTCCCAGTGCTGGGCCAAGTTTCCCGATCCAGGATCCTTGCTCCAAAGCCGGCTACCAGGTGGGAGGGACATGTGGCTGATTTTGGATTTCTAAACGCAGAAATCAGCCCGGAGCTGAGCCAAGCTTCCTAGTGTGAGTGGCTTACTAGTGGCAAGAGCCACTGGCCGACTTGGGATCTGGAAGGGAGGCATGGGGCCAGGCCTGCAGGGGCAGCTGGCCATTATAGTCCCACATCAGGAGGAGGAGCAAGGGCTCTGGGCCAAGAAGCTCTAGAAAGCTCACCCTCTCCTCTGTTGCTCTGGACCTCAGTTGGTTCTGCATGGAAGTGGCAGAGGGGAAATTCAAGTAGTTGGTCCTAACAGGTCAAGACCCTTCAGACTTGACCCAGAACACCAGGGAGAGGAGAATTATGGCTCCTGGGGTCTGGTGCACACGAGCAGCACCGCCAGGCAATTTCCATGGGCACAGCTTCCTGGAGGCACCTTGAAGCGGTTCACAGTGATCCAGGGCTTGGGGCCCTGCACTAAACACTCCTGCCCAGGTCTGCCTGGGACAGCTAAGCAAAGAACAAGGCCAGGCGGTACTCTCTGTAGCATGCAATTCCTGAGGTTCCCGCCAAGGTGCCTAATCTGTCCAAGTGGAGGCCACGCCCTTGTTCCTGAAGAGGGACAGAGGACAAAACCCTTGGCCTTTCCCTGAGCTTTTCTTCTCTTGCTTAAAAATGCAGGCCTCATTTATCTGTGCTGGAGGGGGGGGGGTTCTTCTTTCTTCTTCTGGCCATGTGCCAGGATGTGCTTGGGGTGCATGAAGGATCCACCACCCATATGTAGAACCTGATTGTGTACGGAGGCCTCCAGGATGCTGCTCGGAACACAGGGTCCCTGGTCCTGCAGGCTCAGCCATCGCCACTTGGAGAACCTGTTTGGCCACTCTCAACTGGGAGGGTTAGAATGAGTCAGCGCTGGCCCAGCAAGGCCCCATCCTGCTGCAGAGGCCTAGGAAATCCTAGTCTTGCCTTGCGGACCTGGAGCAACCTGCACCAGGGTCTGCAGTTGCTTGTATTGTCTCTCAGCCTGGGCGTCAGAGCAGTCACCGGGCACTTCACTGTGAACACTGTCACCATTTGAAGGCTAAGAATACCAATTCCAGGAGAATGAGTTTGCTCACTGTTAAGGGTTTCTATCAACAGCCACTGGATTCGGCTAAGTTGCTAACAAGCACATCTGCCACCAGGCCAGAGAATATTTCCAAAGCAACTTCTCTAATCAGTTCTTATTTACTCCTCTGAAAAATTTAAATGTGCATATATAGATGCTGCAGAAGACTAGTGTTTCTGTTTCAAACTCTAAATTCATGAACAAGTGACAAGGAAAGGACCTTTCTGCTTCATCAGTTTGTTTTAGTTTGGTAGGGACACAGATATAATCTTCAGAATGTGGTATTTCTATCGCACCCTGATCTTTGTAGGGCAATCATTTGAATAATGCTACACATCCCAGCAAGTGTTGTTTACAAATCCTGCCTCTCAGGATATGCTGTGTCCACCACTACAGAAATACCAATCTTAGGCTTCACCTTGTGTTTTTAAATGACTACTGCCCTTACTCTTGGAATGTGCAGCCAGAGGAACGCTGGTGTTATATCCTGAGAGAGAGGGACTAGTGTGGTTTGATCTATTTCCCACAGGACAGGGTTATCTCTAGGATGAAGATACTCAACCTGGAGCAGCAAGGACAGGGGAATGAGAAGAGAAGTCTGCCAGAACTGCTCAGTGAGTCCCTGAGGAAGAGGACCTGTGTCTCTGCGGTCTGAATCTCAGGGAGGAGCAGATGAATGGGACCCACCCTGCTCAGCTGGAGAGAGATCAAGGAAGTGAAGTCAAGAAGACCTGGCCCTCATCCTACTTTCTGCATCGCAATGTTGACTTTCCCTCTGTCCACCCAAGGAAGGCTGATTTGGTTTGAATGTGTCCCTTGAAAGTTTACGGGTTGGAAACTTGATCCCTAAGTTAATCCCCAAGTTATTGTTCTGCTGGCCTTTGATGGTGGGGTCTTTGGAGAGCAATTAGGGTTAGATGAAGTGGTGAGGGTGGGGTCTGCATGATGGCATCAATGTCTTTGTGAGACAGGCAGAGAGATCTGAGCCGGCATGCATGTCCTGTCTCACCACGTGATGCCTTCTAGCAGGGTCCAGCTCCATAAGAAGTCCTCCCCAGATCTAGTGCTATTGGACTTCTGTACATGACAATGTGGATGACTTTCCTTGAATACAGAACAATTTCCTCCACTTTTGCTAAACCTGGCCCCAACTCCTTGTACTGATACGTAAACCAGGCCCTGTCCCCATGTACTGATGTGTACAGAGCTGGCTAAGCTGTTCCTTTCTCCTTTCAACTGTCTCTAAGCAATGCAAACAGGGCTGGCTGAGGTGCTGATGTGCAGTCTTTGAAGCTGGTGGACAGTTTCCTGATTCCTCCCCTCCTGTCTCCCTGTAAACTGTTGAGCCCAGTGGATGGCAGAGCCACATAGCTCCAGGAAAGTCAACTGGGTTTGAGCTTCAAGATGAGAGGCCACGATTTACCAGGGGAGGAAAAGTTTGCACATTGGAACCGAAGCACCAGTGCCCTAAATGTTAAATGTTACCTCAGTTGAGTTATGCAGATTGGCCTTTCTGGACACCCTTCTCTTTATGTATTGTGGAGGTACATTCTGACCACCTAGCCAGCTCAGCTCACATTACTCACCCTCACTCATCCTTGAGCTACTCCTTTCTTCACAAGTTAATAAATCCCAGGTGAGGCCCTGGGTCGAGGTCTTTGTCCCATGAACCCTCATCTGGACCAGACTCAGGACCCCACGGCTCCCCATAACTGTAAATATGTCTTGGTGTCTTTATTCTCGCCGTGGGTTGCACTGGAGGTGGTAGATGAGAATTAACTCATCAGCATTCCAATAACATTTCCATGGCACTACAAATATAAGCTTCCCAAATTGTGAGGAGGATGGGAAAAGGGATTTCTATAGACTTTCCAGCCTCCATGAGTGCGTATGAAACGAACCTCTTCCAATAAATTATTCTGTGTCAGGTATTTTGCAATAGCAACAGAGAACAGAACAAGACAGCTTCTCATGCATCTGGGTCCAGGTGGCGGCTTGGGACATGGAGGGGCTTTGAAGCCACAGGCTGAGTAAGCAGGAGCTGGGGCCAGCATGGCCTCTGTCTGACCTCAGCTACCCGGTACTGCTTGTTGGACCTGTGCTGCTTCATCTGGCTGTGCTCAGTGTTGCCTATGACACAGAGGTGACTCTGGCCCCCTGTGCACCGAATGCTCCAGCCTCTGCCCTGGCTTTCACAGCTATGGGCCAGCTGAGTGCTGTGGCTCAGCCTTTCCTTGTGTGGGGAACTGTGTATCTTGCAGAAGTGAAGAGGTTCATCCCAGCCCGTGACCAGCACTCAAAGATACAGCTACAGTACAGTTAGAGCCTGCAGTTGGCTTTTATTTGTGATTATAGAATTGGGAAATAACTCATTCTGCAGAGTAGGAATGTTCCAATAAGCTCATCAGAGGAGGCTGACTTTATGGATGAAAAGGGTAAAGAAAGAAGACACAGAAAGGCAGTTGGTTATTGCAAAGCTACTTTCCATGTAGGGTAAAAATGGGAGGGGCTTCTTTGGTGGATTAGACCCATTCTGAGTTATTGGTGAACCTGCTGGGTTGTCCTCTTTCTTTCTTCTTTTTTCCTTTTTTTTTTTTTTTTTTTTTTTTTAAACTGGCCTATTTCAGACCTCGGTAATTTTCATGAGTAACTAACTATTCCAGTCTGGTCTGGTCTTTTGAGACCCAGTGCTGGAGCTCAGTTCAAAACAGTGTTACAAATTTTATTTAATCATAGGGATGGCAAAAGTGAGGCATAAACCAGGCGCATCCCGCCTGCAGGCACAGTCTGAAGGATGCATGTGGCCTGCTGCCTGTCCAGCACTTGGTTCTGGACCAAGGCAGAAGGGCATGGCCTGTGGGCGATGGTGAGCTCGGGGACCAGGGCCTGGGGATTCCTGGTTCAGACCTAGGTGTCAGATGTGCAGCCTTTTAGAGCCGAGTGTGTGGAGATCTAGCATGAACAGTTGCTGATAGGCCCATGGGCCTTGTTGAGTGACCTCCCAATGCACCTGAGCTGGGTGAGGGAGGCTGGCGTGTCTGAGGCAGAGGCTCATCAGCAGCTCTTGGGGACCCAGCACAGACAAGGGCTCACCTTTTTGTGTGCTTTACCTGGGCTTGGTGCTTCTGTGTAATCCTGGCATCACTGGTTCAGGGGTGGCAAAGGAGACTCAGAAGGACCACCAGAAGCTCTATCCTAGTGGCTTCAATGTCATTGAGGATGGAGTCTCAGTGAAGTGAGTGAGTGTGGGTAGATGCTGGGGCCCCGTCTCACTTCATTGCTGGGCTGGTTCCTGCCCTGATGTTAGCCCTGCCAGCAAAATAGGCCACACAAGGGCATGCTGGGATTTTGTGGGAGCTGGATAGGGTTGAGGCAAGAGCTGTGGAGGCAGCTGGCCATCTGTGGTAGGGCTGGAAAGCTCGAGGTCCTCCAAGGAGCAGAGTCTTGAACACTGTGGGTCCTGTGGCTGGCAACGTCTTTTTAGCTGCTTCTTGGCTGGAAGCTCTGCTCCCGATCTGTGATCTGTCAACATCCTGCAGTGCTCACGTGGTTCATTAGATGCTGAGCTCCCCAGACATGCAGCTATGTTGTCTGTGAAGGGAAGATCCAGTCTGTGTTTTGCACTGAGCTTTGCCAAATTTCTATAACTTCGGAAAACTCCAGCCCTGGTGAAAGCTACCCAGGGTCCTCAAGTCACTGGAGAGATCCACAATGTCAGGAGATGTCCTCAGGAATTTTTCTTAGTAAAAGTACCTGAGGACTTTATTCCTCATCTAGAATGGTTGTGCCTAAACATTTATGTCGTAGTCAGGGGTTGCAAAGAGAACAATTATATACAGGACACAGAATCTATAATATTATTTTACAATGGTCACCCAGAGTAAATACAAGAAGGTGCAGGAAATCTGTCCACAACACTAAAGACCTAGAAAATCTAGCTGAGGGCCTGGATCCCACAGCAATGTCCTGCATGAGTCCAGTTGATGACCTAGAGTCCCTGAGTCCATCCAGCTGGAGGCCTCGAGCCCACAACAATGACTCATGCAAGTCTGTTTCATGGATCTTCGCTGGGAAGGCCCAAAGGTCAGCAGCAGAAACTAGAAAGAATGTGCCAGTGGGGTGAAGAATCTGTGCCAGTAGGTTAAGGGTTCTTCACTGGAAGAAGCAACTCTCAAAATAAGGACCAGGGCTCCTCTGAAAAATACCACAGCCATCCTCAGTGACAACGAGATCTTGAGCTCCTCCAGCAGTGAGAACAGTCGAGAATGTGCCAGGAAGTCAGCACGACAAGCTGCTCTTGCAGATTAAAGAGCACACGTCTTCCCCTCCAGATCCAGGAAGTGATGCTCCAAGTAAGGACCAGAGCTCTCCCAAAGTGAACTGCAGGCATTCTCGGCGACAAGGTCCCGAGTTCCTCCAATGACAGTGGCCTGATCCCTACTATGAAAGCCAGCATGACAAGCTCCTCCAGGAGAACCAGCTCCAAAAGAGCCAGCAGGTCCAAACAGCAACATTTAGGGAAACCCACAATGCTACTCTTCCTCTCCAAGTCTTCTTTTTATGCTGACAACTTACTCAGGTGGCCATCCATGCTCAGTACCATGATGATTTAATTCAGCTGGTGTTAAGTTGCTCACCAGTTTTTAAAATCTGTAACAACTTCTATTGAAATAGATGTATTTGTAAATTATTTTTCTTTCAGTTTTCTTTTATATTACCATTAAGAAATTCCACACTCTATCATCTTATCTATCTACTCTATCACCACTGATCTATATATCTATCTATCTTCTGTTATCTCACGTGCCCTCTCTCTCTCATGCTATTGTAGGTATAAAATATTATCCCATAATTTCATTTCAGGATAGTGTTAAAATGCTTGTTTTGAAAGGAGCTGTTAGGTCCATCCATTCATATAAGAATCGCTGTGAAAAAGAACCTGCAGCCTGGCCTCTCACCAGAGCCTCTGGGGCCCTGGGCCTTTGGAAACGCTGTCTGCACCAGGCTGCCCAGGGTTCTGCTTGTCCTGCTCTACAGGGCTGGGCCCCACCACAGGGGGAGAGAGTTCTGGTCCTGTCACTGCCTCCCGTCATCAGGGTTCTAGTCTAAGGTTTCTATCAAGAACTGGCTGCTGAGTCGGCTCCCCTCAGATGCTTACTTCCAGCAAGTTCCCGGAGGTGGGTGAACATTTGCTTTTGAGACTCTTCCGTACTGTTGGGAAATGTGTGTTGACACAGGTGATAAGGTGACAGGTTGGGAAAGGGGCCAGCAGGGCTGGCTCTGCCCAGCAGGGAGCTGGAAGGCCCTGGCCTCCAGGGTCCTCAGCCCTGGGGATTTCTGTGTTGTGGAAGGAAAACATATGGGACACCCAGAGCCCCCTTGCATCCCTGGATCCTGTCCCTGTGAAGCAGGTGTAGCTCCACTGTGAACTCCTTAAATAGCAGAAGGGCGAATTTCCAGCTTTCCCTTTTCCAGGTTCATAGAACTTCCGCCTCCACCAGGAGGATGACTTTTGCCTCTTTGTGGAGGTGTCCTTGGCTGTGGGCTTTCCACTGGTGGCCATGCTAGGTCTGGGGGGCGGGTCTCTCTTTGGGCGGCAAGGGCTTTGTGTGTGGTGGGGAACCTGCCGAGCCAAGCAGGCATCAGACTTCAGCAGCTGCTTCTGGTTCCTTGCAGCAAGTGTAGGGTGAGCTGGGTTTCTTTGCTGATTCTAAAATGACCTTTAAGAGCAACTCTGGAAGAGAGACACCAAACCATGGAGTATGAAACCCTGGAAGAGACTGCAGCACAATCCACTCGACTCCTCTGTTGGACAAGAGGCCTTGTGTGTGTGATCTGGTGGACTGAGTGACTGGTCCCCATGGTACTGTGTTCATGCTTCTGGTTTATTCTAAGCTTCCCCGCAGGAGTGCACACCATGGCTGGTTGCTGGAGTCCCGTGGACCACTGCCTTGGGGAGACTTCTCTAATGGGAGGTGCATGTGTGTGCATGTGTGTGTGTGTATGTCTGCTATGTGTGAACATGTGATCTGCACACAGGTTGTGTGTATGTGTGTGGTGTCAGGCATATGTGTGCATGTGTGTGCTTGTGTGCTGAGGGGGGGGGCGGTTCATCAGAGCAGCAGACCTTGGCAGTATTCAGGGAGTCAGTGGGACTACAGGAACTGGGCCTGGCTCTGAGAGACACTTGGAAGCTCTGACTGTGTCTGTGGAGAGCTTCTCAGCTGTGGGTATTTTTGTTCTTGCTTGCAGCAGATGGGAGAGAGTGTGCTTTGCTATGACCTTGTGTGGTTTGCAGTTCCCGCTGCTCCCCCGTGACCAGTTTGGCCTCGCATGGAGTCTGGTGCCTGCGTGCTGGGCTCTTGGGTTGCAGACCTGGCCTTTCACCTATAACCCTGGAGCCTAATCACTTGGAACTGGCAGTCTTTTGGGCCAGGCATGGACACCACACTCCACGTCACTAAGCAAGTATGGGAAGAAAGTGTTCATGCTTTATAGTGAAATTAAGCCTTGTAAATAAGGTCTCGCGTGCACTCAGGTGGAACTTGACCTCCAAATGTGTTATGAAACAATGTTCTGTATGCAAGAACTTTTGGGATTTCGAATGACTGCTTAGAAATTGCAGAACTGCAAAGCAAACAAACCCCGGTGACATGATGAGATGGATAAGTCAGGTCGAGCGCCTTGTTGGCACACTGCTTCTA